GACATTTTGTTGATCGTATTTATTCCTTTTCTGTTGTAATTTGTAAAACCAGGAAATGTTTTATTTTCTTAATTTTTCTTCAGACCGTGTAATATATTTATTGTATACGTAAGTCCGTGCATATTATATATTTTTTGAAATCCGATCTAGTGATCACTAAACAAAGTGTGATGGAAATTAAGTTAAAAATAGTGTTTTTCTTCAATAAATAAATAAAAATCTTTACGGAATACTTCAATATTTCGTTAGAAATGTGCTCCTAACCTAAGGTGCCTGCTTAGGTTTTTTTTTAATCTATAATATAAGCACTTAACACAATAAGATTGAGCCTAGACGTTACAAATATAAATAGACCTAAGCGTTTTTATAAGATACTATTGACTTTTGTTTCCGTAGCTTATTTTACATTACACAATATAAACAATCAGGATTTTTTGTATTCATCACTGTATTTAAATATTCGTTTAGTTAAAATATATTAATTTCTATAGTATGTTATTTGAAAACGTCCTATTATTTTGTAATTTTATATTATATAAGTAAATCCTTTATATAGTAATAAGTGCATTTTTATTTAAACCCGCGACCCGCCCCGGCTTTGGCTTGATAGGATCTGTCAATGTGGTGTTATTTCGATTTAAGATAATCATCGAATACCATTTATTTTACTAATCCTTCGACTACTCAAAAAAAAAACCGTCACATTTTTCGGATAAATACCACCTAAACCACTCTTGGCATTGCTCTCTATTTTTCTAGGGCTGCATCAATACTTACCACCAGGTGGGATTGTGGTTAAGCACTGGCTTATAATAAGTAAAAAAAAAGTCATTCGTCTCAAGCCATTTCGAAGATTAGGCCAGACAGACACAGACAAAAATTCAAAAGATTGTTATTCACGCCTTAACAGCATGCAAATAACCCCTAAGCACAAAAAGGCAGTTATTTCGTATTAAAGACAGGCACTTTAATATTATGTACACGTTTCAATTATTACTAAGTCCATATAAATTTATGTGAAAGCCCCAGCTTGAGAATATGAAATTATTTTATTATATTTAGTTCTTAGAAGTCTGTTTTACTTTTTGTTAAGATTTGCTTTGTGGAATATAATCTCAATGTCGTCTAAATAGTTACATTATAAAACTTCATCTCCTATTTTGCCACCCTTTGGGATGGAATTTTTATTCAAATTTATATGGGACCGCATGATAAGGAGTATGTATTTAGTAAAAAAGAATCTTCAAAATCGGGTCTCAATTGGCGAAGATATAGTGTAACATACGTACAAAAAAGTCAAATTGTAAACCTCCTCCTTTTTGAAAGTCGGCTAAAAAGGTAAGATAACATGTAATTAAATAAATTATATGTTTGTAAAGGATTCTTTAATTACCAAGGAAAGAGTTCAAGAATAAAGCTGTGCCTAGACTCTTTGTGATGCTCAAGGTGTTCATGATCAGATAGATTGCAGTGCTTGACTGCAATCCCACCTGATGGTAAGTGGTAATGAAACTCTGGATGGTAAATTAGGTTTTAGTGTAACAAAAGTTAATTCGCTCTTGCCTTGAATACAACCAAATTGTAATCGGACGGAAAGACGAATGTCAGCAGATTACTCCACTCCTTTGTTGTACGAAAGACGAAGTTAACAGTTTGATTGTAAAAAAAACCATGACAGTTACCCTTTCCCGATTTTTTTTTTATAGAATAAGGATCTTTCGTCGATTAAAAATCAAAATACAGATCCGTTGGCACCCCTGAGGACCATGATAGAGTTCCTCGTTTCCAGTAAAATGATCTCTGGAACTCTGCACTCACCATACGAAAAGCGATAGACAAATTGCGCTGAAATATTATAGGATTATCCGAGGTCCGAAGAGAAGGGGAGGACACGGTAATCCTCGAATCCGGCAACTTGTTCTATCACCGGGAGGACGACCATCTGTCCCAAGGAGGTGTCGGATTTATTGTCCACAAGTCTCTCGTTAATAACGTTGTAAAGATGGGGAGTGTGTCGACGAGAGTTGCGTACCTTATACTCGGAATCACCAAACGGCATTCGCAGAAGGTCATACAGGTTTACGCGCCAAAGTCAGCACATCCCAATGAGGAGGTGGAGGAAATGTATGAGGATATCTCTCGAGGCATGCATTCCTCCAAAACCCATTATACGGTGTTAATGGGAGACTTCAACGCAAAACTAGGCACAAGGGACAACAGTGAACTGAAAGTAGGGAAATTCGAAATCGGGCAACGGAACCCAAGAGGCCAGCAACTGGCCGATTTAATTTTTTTTTATAGATAGGGTGACAAACGAGCACACAGTCCACCTGATGGTAAGTGGTTGCTGTGACCCATAGATATCCCCATCTATCTTCAATAAAGAATCAAAATGCAGTTGCGTTGTCACCCGTGAGGAGTAAGATGGAATGCCTCTTTTCCAGTAAAAAGGGTCTCTGGTTATCTGCACTCACCATACGACACACAACAGTATTAAACTGCTATTTTACGCTGGTATTCTGTGAGAGCGTAGGCCTACCCCGGTCGAGACGACCCATTCGTGCTGAAACTATAATATAGCTGCAGCGTGGCTCTACCACGTATGATTCATCGATAGCGCGACTACGGACTCTAATACCTACCTCACGAGTTAGGTGTTTGTGTGACCTACAAACAGAAGTATGTTTCAGTGCTGTATGTTTGTCTATGTGCAATTTATCTTTTTAAAACACCTCTAGAATGCAGATAAAATCCCAAATGTAGTTTTGGGTGTAACGTTGTGACCAAGCCTGTTATTAATAATTAATTACCTTCCTGTAAAAGCAAGCGTCCATGATATAAAAGGTGGAAGTAGAAACAATAAAAACACAATGTAAGGTTGTTGCCCGTCACAATACGTGAACTTACGATAACTTACTCGTAGAATTCTTGATGCTATGAGCATATTGAGTTCGCAGTTTGAACGTTATAACAACTAAAAATTTGGCCAAATAGCAGACATAGGGAGTGGTATGCAAAAAACATTAAAACGTTTTGATTTTGAAAGTAATGCAATCTACATCAATGAGGGTATCCACGACTTTTTCTGCCACCAGTGCGGCGCCACTTAAAAGTGAGGCTTATAATATTAGACAGATTTCGTAGCGGGGAAGTTAATTTGTTCGGAAAATGTAAAAGTTAATGTTTCTTTCTGTACTATAAGCCATATTTTATATTAATAAGATTAAAACTAAATAAACCAAACCACAAATTAAGATTAGAGAAAATTTTAAAAAGGTAAAAAATTTGCTAAAAATTAAACTGCAAATCACTGAGGCATTGTTTTGTGTATTAACATAATACTTTTGAATCTTATAAACTTTTATTAAACTAACTTCTCAATTAAATGACATTGTGTAACAAAAAACTTTACCTGTGTCAACTAGCGACATCTAGTGAGCAGAAAATTATTAGCCCTCATCCATTCACATAGGCAAGTCCGTACAAAAATGGTCATACTCGTAGTTCCCCATACATCTATTAGTTTCCGGCAGTGCAACCCTAAGATATACATTACCGTTACGAATCTTACTGTTAAACATCACTGCCAGAGAGTACCGCGAATGAAACTGGAGATCTTCAATAACTACTAAATAAAAAAAAATAAGCGAAAGTGGTATGTCAGGATAGGTCTCTTGGCGATCGATCCTCCTGTCTACCCTCGAAAGAAAACTATAGTAGTAATGCATTTATGTTCCTATGTTCCCCAGACCGATTTCCAGTCACGACGATCAGTTTTAACAGTCTTGCCATCTGCGCTGGACAGAATTATAGTGTACATATACCTACTCGTAAGTGACTTGGACACTTAGCAAAAATAAATGAGGAAAGTGTGACAAGGCAAATTTATGCTGCAAAAGTGAATGGCAGAGTTTTCAAGGGATGCCCTAGACGGAAGTTTATAGAATAAATTGGTGATATGTTTATTATGGTTGGTATTAAGAGGAACTCTTAATCGAAGAGAACGTACTTCCTTAAACGAGGAGCTTGTATTCGTTGTTAAAAAAATGTCGCAGCATTCGTAACCAAGCCGCTCTTACACAAGAAGAATATCAACAGACGTGAGTTCCATAATTTTCTCAATTTATCAGTATCCTGCAACAACGACGACTTTCTTGTCTACTGCCAACATTTGGAAAATCTCTACAGTGATTTCATTGTAATATTCCAGGATATTTTGAAATTGGAAATACCAGACTGGATGTTAGATCCTTTTTCAAATATCAACATAGCAGTAGCACCCCAACAGGAAGAAGAACTTATAGAACTGACAACGAACGAGGAAATAAAAATCAAATTCAAACATGGCTGCCAAGAATTTTGGCTACAAAAGTCAATCCCGCAGTTGTACCCTAGATTTTGGTCGATCGTTCAACGATTTTTAATAGCATTCCCATCGTCATATTTGTGTGAACGTGGAGCACTATGACAACGCTACTAAACTCGTTACTAAAAAAAAGAAATCATTTGCATGTTACCGAACGCGGCGATTTAAGACTGTTTTTGAATAAAATTGAACCTGATATCAACAAAACTTATTAAAGATTATCAAATCTCATTAGATTAGTTTTAAAACTAAAATTGATTACCTATCTATACTGTTTCTTTAAATTTGATTAAAATATATTCTTAATATTATAAAGTTGCGTTTTAATTCCTGTCACTGGTAATAATGTCTACTTTAGTATGTAAGTTTAAACACCAGAACCGACTAATATAGCACACCATAACTAAACTAATTAAAGTAATGAAATTGTGGTGTTTAAGTTTTATGAGTTTATAAGAAATTGGGAGCGCTGAAAAATAATTGATTTTCAAAGGGGCGGTAAAAGAAATAACTTTGATAATCTCTGATATATATAATGTTATGTATTATAATGAGGACGATTCGATAATAAAAAACAAGTCAAAAGGAATGTATGTATTTTATTTTTAATTCAAATGCAAATTTTAGGTGCACATTACTCTGCGGCAACCGATCTTGAATTCGTTGCGGACAATTCCATAAGTTTTTGTTTTATTTCTGATATCTGAAATAAAATCCTTTGTATGTAAGTATTGCGGCATTGCATTAATTTCGTACGGAATAGAACTTTGGCAGTTTGAGAGTGGAGCCGATTCGATTCTTAGACGACTACCTATTGAACTGTTAGGTTACTGTAGTCCATTAACACCTGCAGCCAACTTTAAAGAAAGAATGCTATAGGTGCGATGTTGTGTCCGAGTCCTAAGATCATAGAGCAACACGGACCATCGGCGGATCGGAGGGGAGTAGCCATACGTAGGTGTTCCCCTCTGTCAAAGTACAAGTAATAGATACTCTTTGAGAAGTCGATAAACGAGATCACGCTTCACGCGGATAGTTGCAAATAAAAATGATGATCGCCGTCGCCGGTTTGAGTAGTTTACATCTGGTATATACAAAATGATAATACCGAAATGTTTCGGAAACCTTGCTGGCATTTCCCATTGTCGCCTCCTACGACCCCCACGGGGAGTGGGGGTGATGGATCCTCTCGCCACCACCACACGGCAAACTTCTTTATCATAAGTCAAAAGCAGAAGTCGTCTGCTAACAAACTAGTTTTAACCAAACTCTCGGTAATAAAACAATACCAGATGGTATTTTTTATAGAATAAGGGTGAAAAACGAGCAGACAGTCCACCTGATGGTAAGTAGATGCTGTGGCCCATAGACATCTACATTTATCATCGATTAAGAATCAAAATGCAGATGCGTTCATCCCTGAAGATTAAGATGGAATGCCTCGAACCCAGTAAAAAGGGGTCTCTGGTTCTCTACTCTGCACTCACCGTAAGAAACACAGCAGCATGAAGCTGCTATTTTACGCTAGTATTCTGTGAGTGATTAGTTCTTCCCCGGTCGAGCCGACCCATTTGTACTACAACCATAACAATATAGTTGCGGCATGGCTCTATCACGTATAAAAATTTACCTTATGTATCTCATTCAGGAGAACCTTCTGCTCAGTTCTCGGCGTCATTTGCTCTCTATTCAGATCTATGGCTTCCAAATTTTCAAATAACTGTTTTATTTTCATAGCCAAATGGACGTCTCCGTTATTCTTTCTTGGCACGGTTGGTTTTGATCTTCTCCACAACCGTTTTCTGTATTTGTCCGGCAGATCTTTCTCTATATCCTCCCTCGTTAGAAGGGCCATGTATTCTGGACTCGTATCGTAAGGATAATTTTTGGTGCTAAATTCATAGCTGATTTTTCCGCGCAGCACTGACATTTGAATGGATCTGTAATTACTTCGCCAATTCTTTAATAACTCCAAGTTTCTGTAATAAATGAGATAAACAATTGACTTAGGTACTTGAATTAAACTCTTTTAAAACATTATTCCTTGAGAATACAATTTCGAGCTACGATTTGCCATGCTTACCACACAATAATATTGTGAAGGAAACGTCTTTTTATTGGAAACGAGGTATTCCATCTAAGTCCCCAGGGGTGGCAACACATCTCCATTTTGATTCTTAATCGAAGATAAAAATAGATGTCCATGGGCCACAGCATCTACTTACCATCAAGTGGACTACGTGCTCGTTTTTTTTATAGGATAAGGTAGACATACGAGCACACAGTCCACCTGATGGTGACATCTACATCTACGAATCAAAATGCAGATGCGTTGCCACCCGTGAGGACTAAGATGGAATGCCTTGTTTCCACTAAAAAGAGTCTCCGGTTCTCTACACTCACCATACGATACGCAGCAACATTAAGCTGCTATTTTACGCTGGTAATATGTCGTTTTTCATCCCCATCTTATTAAAAAAAAACTTTCGAGTGGCAACCTCTACCTTTAAGTGAAATATGCGGCCCCCACTAGATGTAGTGACGGCTTGGTAAGACATAAGGCTTGGGAGAAAGTTGATAGATGCAGATTACTAAAGATCATGTATTGTGGGGGTTCCGTGGGGGAGCTCTGTGTTCAGCAGTGGACTTCTGAAGGGATGATAATGATAATGATGTTTTCGCTTATTACAAAACTTACTTTTTGTTCTGTAATATTTTCTCTCTACTTGCGAGTAAATCTTTCCGTTTTTTGACAGCCATGTCCTTCAAAAAGCGCTGTTTGATTTTTTCGTCTTGCTTATCTTTACCGCACACATAAACTGGTTTAAGATATTTCGAACTTTGACTATACGACGGCAATGTCTTATTTCTACTTGCAGCCAATTTCGGACATTTTCCTTTTATTTTAGCATAGAACTCATCATCTGAATCGTTCAAATCCTTTTCGCCTAATTGCACTGAAAGGGCCTTGGATGTTTTAAATTTTTCATCTAAAAGCGAGTTATAACTCAGAAGTTCGTTTGATAATATAATATTCGAATTTCGACTAGACTCATTACGGTCTTCGGACGCTGATGAAGATTGTAAAAATAATTCTTCGATAAATTTGTCATGTAAATATTGCAATGTTTTTTCAATTCCAGCGTTGATTATGTCCCTTGGCGGATAAGTTAGAGGATTTCCATTTATTTGCAGCACCTTCAAACTTAATACCGTGCCCAACTCATTAGGCAAGGATGACAGATTATTATTTTGCAATAGTAAATGAGTTAGGCTTTGATGATTTTTAATAGATTTTGGTATTTCATTTAACCGATTTTCTCTCAAGTCTAACCACATAAGACAAGGGTAAGAGTCAAAGAAATCATCTGGTAGTTTTTGAATGCTGTTGTTTTGAAGATATATCGCCTAAAAGTTTATTGAAGACGTATTATCGAAAATAACAAAATACCCAATAGTTCTAATGGCGGTTGTACACTCTCAGCGAGACACCCCGAGACAGGCCGAGCATTGAGAGTAATCCTGGTGGAAGCGCCGACTCGGTGTGTTTACGTTACTCCCCGCTCCCGTCAGGTTTGAAAGATGACCTTATCACAAAAATTGATAAGGGCGTGCTTCGGTGGTTTGGGCACGTTGAGCGAATGAGTGAAGACCGAATGGTGAAGAAAATATATAGCGCGAAAGTTAATATTAAAAGGTGTCGAGGTAGACCGAGACTAACTTTCGAAGACCATGTGAGCAAATTGCTCGAAGAGGGTAGGGTCAAGAGTACTCGGATACCTAGACGTGCACGTATGAAGAAGATAATGAATCTGAAAGAAGCGAAAGAGGTATGTAAGGATCGTGACACTTGGCGATCTGTTCTCTCTGGCTACCCCGTCAGGGATTGTGCGTGAAGATAAGCATAAGCATAAGTAAGCCCGCTCCCGTCCAATGAGCCTCACCAGTAGTTAAAAATTTACCATTTAGATATATCTACTATAAAACTTTTTTTACGTACATCAGACCCATTTTTATTTTACGTCAGTTCATGCAGTAATACCGAAGTTATTATTACGGGGAATTCGGAGCGGTTTTTCAAATTTCCAAATTTCGCACGATCATGTTGTAACGTCATCCCTCGCGTCTATCACTGCTCAGCCATTCACCTACGTAGGTACGCAACGGTCAAACACACTTGTGTTTCCGCAATTTTTTCCTATCTATTACAAAAAATTTGTAAAAGTGTGTAAAAGGGTGTTAACTTTAACAATTCAATATGGAAATCGGCAATGAAAAAGGTCAATCTGATAATTTACATAAGTGAATGGTTTTGTGGTAGCTCAATATTTCTTAAAAAAATAGTGACTATGGCAGCAAGGTAATCATTAACTTAATAATGAAGTAGTAAAAGGTTAGTTAGGAATATTACGTGCAATACTTCATGAGGATATCGTGGGGGGAATACCCCTCCGATAATTAAACCATTCATTATCATGAAGCAATGGAAAATCTACTAGCAGTTTGACTTGTTCTTTTCTTTGTTAAATGAGATGGTAATTAGTCCAATCTTTCATAATTTCATTCACACTTGTTTGGAACTCGATATTAAAAAAAATGGCTAGAGACGCAAAAAAAAAGCATAAACAATGCAGCACATAAATGAAAATTTATTGACGGAGACTTCTTTAAAGTCAAGTCTTCTCTTGTTGCATCAAGGGTATGTAGTATAGAGTACAAGGAGAACCATCTTATAAGGGGCGAAAGTTGAAAAAGTGTCCTACTATTTACTGAAAATAGAGGTTCCAAAACCTACCACAATAGTGCTGGCATCTGAAAAACTACGATATGAAGATAGCTGTTGTGAACGGAGTGAAGTCAGCTGAATTCAAATATTTAAAAAATTTATGATTAGAGAAGTTAGTAAAATGCCAGAATACAAAATCTCAACTATTTACGTAGTACAAAACCAAGCGGATTGGTCGGTCCTTGTTTATTTCTCCATCTTATTCTAATTACTTTTGGCGCCTTTTAATAAATTTATCCTATGCTACTGCAGAGCCACCCTTATTGGAAACGTTTTTAGGGACAATTTTCATATATAGAGATGGTCCTCCTTCTCTCTACACTCCATAATCAAGGGGTATTAATTTGCAAACATGCTGAAATTCAAATATAAAGATGTCTTTACTGACTTATATAAATGAAACAAATATTATACTATTTGTTTCGTTTTTATGTATTTGTAATTGTAATTCAAATTTTGTATGGATTTTTTTAATAAAAATATAGATTTCATGCTTTTTCTATATGGCAACATTGATTGCGTATCCTGTATACTCTAAAATAACTTAAAAAAAAACTAAAATAATCTAGTGTCTTTTTCCCAGTCTCTGTCGTGCGTAAGAAAGTTATTATTATTAAACTCTGTGGTCTTGCTCGAGCTAAGAGAGACCAAAGTAAATATATTTCTTCGAAGAATTTATATACCTACTACTAGACGGCCTTCATAAATTGTGCCTGAAATGTGACTAAGAAAACGCGACTTTATTTTTATGTGTGCACTTTATCCACGTGGTTTGAAGTTTATTTCAGATAATATGTATTTAACTTTATTCCGTATTTGCCTAAAAACGTTAACTGTCGTAAATGAAAATACAACTACGTGGCATATTTACCGTGCCAGCTACCCGCTCAAGTCGGCGCCGGTGTGACATAGTTTTTGTTCTGAATTGCCAGTCTAGAAGTATATATAAAAGTCTTTGCATCCATCATCTCTTTGCCTTAGTTAGGTTCACCTCTCAGCGGCTACTCGCCGCCTGTGCCCCCTTTTCCCTAAAAGGGGGTCGCTTCCGATTCGGCAGAAAGGCCACACAAGCCAATGCCAGACTCACATGTGGTGTTTAGTGGGTAGACACTTCGGTTTCGCAGTTTGTCCCACATAACCACGCAGCCGGCTGTCGTGGCATGCTTAGAGCATTCACCACCTCCCCTCCCCCGCTTCCCGGAAGGTAGCCCTTTTCATTGGTTCTGGGCGCAAAAAAAACCATCATCTCCGTTTAAGCTCCATTTTTTGTTTTCTTTTAGGTATAGTATTATGTAAATATTTATATTAAATTAAATTATTAAAATAATTATTAAACGTATGAAAACTTTCAAATAACACAGTACACGCACATATACTACACACATTACACACACACTTTACATTCACTACATACACACATACTACACATACTATTTTTACTCTTTCTAAATTAAGTACAAGCGGTTCTTGCTTTAGTAAACTTTATGACATTAAAGAGGAAGAGGGGCTTACTTCTGATACGGGCTCATTATACGTTCAATCTACCATGGTATATGTACTTGAAAGACCGTGTTTATGAATAAAACCTTTTTTTTCATAAATAATTTCATACAGAGCAACAACAGCAGTATATTCATCCATCTTCTCGAACTTCATAGTTCATATGAACTTCACGAGAGCCAGAGTTCGGTTATAATTATTATATTCTCTTTGGTTCCGGGATGAACCTGATCTAGGTGAGTCTACGTGGTTATACTTATGGACAATCCTCTCGCCTCATCTCGCGCGCATCCTAGCTAGAGCACTCGGGCGAGTGTACAACTGCCATAAAAATGTTTACAGAGAAAAATTTACACATAGCAACTTATTGTCATTTTTCGGTATAACTTCTAAGCCTTGGTAAGATAGGTCCCAAGTTTTGTCTTTATTGAACTCCTCTTCATAAAGGTTAGATTGTAATGATGTATTTAATTTATCAGACATTTCTCTAAATAATAACAAATTACAAGTTTGTTCGGTTTCCAACGATCAGAACCATCAACAAGTTTTATCGATAAATTGTTTTATATTTTAAAAGCTTTGGCTTGGATGCTTGTTTTTTAAGCCATGTCTTATTATTATTACGATTAGTATTCGTTCATTCGGGATTTAAAAATCTTTACAATATGCCAATGCGTCACATTGAAAAGTTCTTGGAAGATTTTGATAACAGCTAAATACAGTGAATATTCGATGATCAAAGTTAATTTGCTATATATCTATTTATCGATGATGACAGTATCTCAAGTTCATATGGCGCTTAAACGAACAAAATAACTTGAGGTTTATATCAAAACCGAATCACTTGTTTTTTGGTTTCTAATAGTAGTTCACGTGTGCAGATACTTAATACACAAAATCGCATCACTTTAATGTATCAAAATCCACATCCAAATCATTAAACAACGATAAAACAGGAGCTACAATGCGCCGCAACGGTCAAGATCCCGCCAAAACTTTTATCGTATTCATCTTATTCTAATTACTTTAGGCGCTTTTTTTTATTTATCCTATGCCACTGCAGCGCCACCCTTATTGGACACGTTTTTAGGGACACTTTTCATATATAGAGATGGTCCTCCTTCTCTCTACACTCCATACTTCCACCTTAAGGTGAAAGCTTCAGGGTGGCCCACGAAGTTCAAATTTTCTTACGTTTTTTGCAATTTGTAGGTCAGTGTCAAGTTGTATGTTTAATAAAATATGATTCGCGAGCGTAACGAGTATGTATTTACAGAATTATAATCATTATAATCATCAATATATATAAGTATTTGAGATATAATAAATAGGTCACAAATTAACAATCAGTACTTAGGTTTATTTTCTACTTCCTATGAAATAGATTTTAGGAGCTTATGAAAGAATTATGTCAAATAATAAATTTAATTTTAAACTTTAATAATAAATTTTCCTCAATATCTCTGTCTGCTCAGCAAAGGTATAAGACCATAAAGCCTAATCTGATTCTAATCTAATTACAAAATTCTTTACTGTATGCTGATACGTCACATTGCGACGTTTTTGAAAGATTTTGACGGCAGCAGACAGTTAATCACGATAATATCTCAAGCCGTCCAAGCAGATAAAATATTTTAGATTTATTGATACCACCATCGAATCCCTTATAAAATCGTTACCATTGATAGTTCTTAAGCTCGGACATTTAATAAATAAAATCGCACCACTTTTACGTATCAAATTTTGCTTAAAACCATTAATTAAGCTTAAAATCATTAGCACAAACTAATAAGAAGTACAGTAATCTTCATAGAGAAAATACTGGACATGGGAAACGTCATAGCAAGATGATATTTGACAGCTAACATCCCCCTTCGCCTCTCAACATCCCTTCTAAGCATGGAGTATAGAGACTACTCTATACTCCATGCTTCTGTAAGCTGTCGCGGCCATATTGTTTTGTTTGTTTTGTTTTGTCATTGTCACTGAGCACTAAGTGATATTACCGATAAATTTTCGTGTGGTGGCGTTGATTTATTTCCGCCCTATCTTTTCATTTACTTCTATCAACCGATTGCCTTTTACTGTAGTGAAGGATCAACATCTACTACTGAAGTGAAAATAGTAGTGGTGAGACTGGACTTATTCCAGTAACATTAGTCTAATATGAAGGGGTTACATTCAGATCTGCTCAACTACTGCAAGAGGAAACAAGATCAGTTCAAATACGAGAAATTAAAAACACTGGTAAGTACAATTAATCAAAACCTTACCGCCATGTTAGCATTTAATAGAATTGCCTTATTCTATGTTTTATAATTTTAGATGACCTGATACTTATAAGTGGTATTTATATGCTTGTCACATTTGATCCACCACATTTAATCAAAGGAATGCGAAACAATTTTTAACAAAAAATGTACAATACCAAGAAAAGATTTCTACATGGACAGATAAGAAAGACTGTGAATATACAGAAACACGGTTATTACACAAACTTAACGACAAACATGTTATTCCTGGAAAGAAAATTAAGGTATAAAATAATTGTAATTATATTTCAATTACATGTAATTTAATTTTTGTATGTGTAATACACGGTTTCCATCAAATTGTTATGAATTATTTACAGGTTAAGAATTATATTCACTCCACAAATTTTACATCGTGCCTTACACTATTTAAATTAAAAGTACTATCAATTACATTGAGAGGTGAACGTCGTCAGTCGTACTAGTATAAACTGTGCCACGGCTGCCTGATTATGTTCCTGTACTTAGTAAAACCATGGAAGGACCCTTTAATTATACCTCTGCATTTTGTAAGTTATCATATTAATTATTTTATTAAATATATTAATACATAGCACCATAAAACTGAAGTGTTTTACATGGTTATTGGTGAGAACCAGATACCTTTTTTTCCTGGTAACAAGTCATTATCTTATCTTCAAGGATGACAATGCATTTTGATACTTAATTGAGGATTAATGTAGGTGTCTGTTGGCCACAGCACAACAGTAACTTAAAAATACTGTATAGAGTATGTAATGATATTTCATTTAATAATATTTCAAATATATTACAGCTCATTATTCGGATGTCTGGCCGCCAGTGAGCAAAACAGAAAAATACTGCAGAAATATTATCTTTCATGGATAAACTATTTGACAGTGTGAATGGAAGTGCGGTGATAAATAATAAAAGAAGTGGGAAAGATTTAACAATTTTGTAATTCTGGCAGCAAGCTTTTTTGAAACTACAAAATTTAAAATTTGTTAATAAAAATGGTCAAGAATATACAGTGCCCAGTGTAAAGAACTGAATTAGTACCATAAATAGTTTAATGAAATTGTGGCATTGTCTGTCCAAGAAAAACATAAAAATTATGAGACCTCGCTACATAAATTCTGATGCAATCGAACACTTTTCCGATCAAATAAGATCATACAATTTTAGGGACTATAACCCGACTTGCCACTATTTCATAAATGCTTTTAAATGTTTATTAATAACAGGATTCATTAAGTTTTACTGCTCATCTTGTAATTGTTAAGATGATGTTAGTGCACAATTATTTAAAATAATGAGACTGTTTAAAGGACATGAAATGGAAGTGACTAGTGAAAGGGTGAAACTGGTGAATCTTATATTGATACTTATCCATTAATTATAAATTTGTAAACAAAATTATTGTAAAGTTAAAATGAGGACTGTATGAGAATTATTAGTTTTAGTTTGTTTAATTATAGTTTTTTTTTAATATTGTACATATTAATTAATTAATAATTATTAAATTTGTAAACAAAATTATTGTAAATATAAAACGGTGACTGTATAATAATAATTAAGTTATTATAGTTTTTTAATAATCTATATATTAATAAGTTAATTATTAAATTTGTAAACAAAATTATTGTAAAGTAAATATTAATAACTAATAAAAAAATAATAAATTTCAACATTGTTTAATTTGTATTTCCATCGTTTTATTTTCAATATAATAAAATTAATTTTTCAAGTGGCTATTATTTAGGACGACCTTTGCCTGGTATAGCTGCTTCAAATTAAAAAAAATGTATATCATTTTGCCACAACCAATCAGGACGCAGAAGCTAAGTGGAGTAAGTTTAGTTCGTGAGATGTCCGTCTGATTCGGTTAGAATCTACTAGTTATAGTCCCACCAACTTATCTGTGAATTGACAGCTGCGGCAAAATTGTGAACTACAGCCGCCATTTAATCAAATGTCACTCGATACGTCATTGTTTTGAGAGTTTATAGAAAAATAAAAAATGCCGAAAACCATTAAAAGTGATGCCCGAAACATTATTTTATAAGTATTAAACTTTTGTCAGCAAGAAGCTTGAGGGTAAGCACCGATAATGTCTTTCAATCTGGTCTATAAAAGAGTATCAGCTGCTACAAGAAGGAACAAAACATAGCAATACTGACCAGTATTGCTATGTTTTGTTCCTTCCTTTCGTATTTCCGATAAATGGATTGGTTAATGCAATTCATTTCTTTTTCAGATGTTAGTCAAGGATTCATTTCCAAAATAGTTATAGAACCGGAAACCGCATAAACCTAGCGATGCAAAGTTTTTAAAAATATCGATATATTGATATCGATATATATTGAATGAAGTTGATATTTATATATCGATATATCGGTCAAGTACGCCGAAGCCGATATATCGATATTTTCCTTTTTTTTAAGGTTAATAAAATGAAAATTTGGAAATAAAAAATGTATTATTTTAATATATAATGTAAAAAAAAAAATTAATTCCAGTATTTTGTACCAGCTATTGAACTTAAAAATAATAACTTAGAAAGTCTGCTTCCATGTAGCCGGTTTCGGCTCTGGGTTATAGTAGCTCCTGCCTTCGAAAAAAGACGTTCTGATGGAACACTTGTTGCTACAATCGGTAGATGACACATTGCCACTTTAAAAAGATTCGGATATACACCCTGCATCTCTTGCCATGTTTCAAGAACATTTACTTTTAAAGTATTTACAGGGGCAGAGAGATATAACGTGAGTTCATCGTCACCGTCAGTTTTTTTTCTTTTTATTTGCGTGTGAGCCAAAGATTTGTGGTACTTCCAAAAATCAAATTCAACTTTTTCTTCATCTTCTGAAGAAGTTGACGAAGCCGTTACGGCAGATTTATATTCAGAAATGAATTTTCTAATTCGAGACATTGCTTTCGCACAAGCTTCCGGTTTTTTAAAATGCAAGTTCTTGAAACGCGGGTCTAGCAATGTAGAAACGGCTAACAACATATTGTATTCAAGATGGCCGAAACGCTTTTCTATCTCCAGCGTTATATTTCTCTTCAATTCGTCAGCAATAGTCGAAGTCACCCCCAATTCCTTGTATTGGTCAATTGCACAACTCACCATGGGTACAATTTTAGAAATGGTGACGTAACGTTCGGCAGAAGCCTCTCTTGTCATAGCTTCCAGTGGACGCATAACAT